CAGTCTTGAACTATGCATGTGAAGCCAGCTGAGAGCTATATCCAATCCTATAGATTTCTCATTGTTTGGTAACTATTTGCTGCAAATGCAACAAAAATCAATATAAAAATATTACCCACACAGCATTCTACAGGTTACTTGTTGGATACTGTAATTCGTTTCATTGTTTGCGCAGACACTGTAAACAATGAACGTACACGTGAAAGACGTCGGATTACATGTTGATAACAGCTTTATTGAAAGTGTTGCACCAGGAAATCACACAAGGCGACTGTAGTATTTATTGTTCACAGTTGACTTTTGTATTATACGGAACACAGCCAGATCTGCATACAAACTTTGGGGGACACACAGTAGGTTCGGATAACCGAACATTTCGGATAATCGACGTTCGGATAATCGACGTTCTACTGTACCTCGAAGTCATATGTTGTACTCGCTGTAAACGTCGCGTAAACTTTTCACTTCAACAGAAAACACTGTCTATATTCAAATTGGAGGGAAGATATCATTCCCCGGAATATGACTCAAATTTTGACACCATGGTTTTAATTTACACAAGGAAAAGTGTTTTCATGTATTTGTTTGTAATAGTACATGTATAATATTCAATAACGTAATTAAAACGATCTTATCGAGTGTGTGTTTTAACTGAAGGAGGTCACTGCTCGGTCGTATGTTCTCCCAAACAGATACTGGATCTAATTTCACTTTCACTCATACATCATCACCCTTGGCAGAAGCAGACACAAACTGCCAGATGGCTGACAGGCATTGGTGTATACATTATGTACGTCGTTCAGCAGTCATACACAAGTACCGTGAACTCCGGGCAAGCCACAAGGCGTGACGAAAAACGCCTCAGTCTGTGAGAGAGTATTACCAGTATAAAAAAATATACTGATGACCACGTGACTTCGGTGTGGCCTTTCGCGGTCAAAGAATGTCAAGTTTGTCAAATCAGCTTTCAGATGAGATTAGTTGTAAATTCGATAGCTTTTGTGATGTTTGAATTTGGGATGATTTGAGAACTATTTCGATACCATGACTGAAATTATGCGTAGCTGTGAAACTGAAATCAACAAACACATACAATTTTTGTGGTATAATTGTCTTGTGTATTTGGGCGGGAAACACGAGTTTGTTCTATAAGATTAATATGGAAATTCGGAAACTGAGCAAACTGTGTGATAGATGGTCGAAAACCAGATAAAGTACGCGAATAAGTAGTTGTCTTCATCATTTTTTAAAATATTATGCCAAAAGCAATAGCAAGATTTATGTCTATGAGAATAAAATAAAACATTAACTATGCATGATACAAGATAAGTTCGTTTTTTTTAATTATTTTATGTTGTTGTTTTTCACGCTACAGATATATAAGGGAATCGCATGTAATTGCAAGAATAATATGATGATGTAATTTTCTTTGAGTGGGAAACTCGTCACGTTTTGTCTTCTTGTGTTTGTTTCATATGCTGCGAGGAAAAGTTAATTAAAAAAATGAACACGCATATAAAACCGGCTGTATATTGGCAAAGTTGTATTACGTATGCAATAGCGCGTCCTGAATACGTGAGACAACTGTATTTATTAGACACAACCGTCGATGGTTTAATCTCGTTACTGTTGTTGAGAGAAAAGGTGTGAACGGGGATGTGTTAAGAGTTTCTGGCGGGGTTCTTTGTGATTGTGTGTTTGTATGTCAACAATCTACCCAGGATTAATTACATTTCCTTAATTAAAACAATGACGACTGAAATCCCATGAACCATTGTATTGTGTGACCCTGTATTATTATAAGGTGTTGGCATACTGGTATTATCGCCTTCTTTCCACTTGTCTGGACACCGCGCTATACCGTTTTATGAGTAGATAACGGGTATACTAAACGCACATCACAAATATATGACGAGAACTCTGATTAGCGCCATACCATTTCGCCTTCCCGATGATGCAAACAAGCGTTTCTGTGTTTGTCTTATTATTGTCTTATTATTATTAAACTTGTTGTGATGTCGGTCTCCCGTTGAATGTCGGTATATTTGGACAGTACGGACAGGAAAAAAAGTGTATTTAGTCATGAAGTGGACTTTTGTGGCGTAGCAAATTGCATAAAAGAACGCACGGCAAATGCGGTGCGTTCTTCTGGTACAGAATTGTTTAACGATACATCGTAACACCTACTTTTTGCGACAGACAGTTTCACTGGAAAAAAACACCCCATTCGCAAATTGTCTATAATTTGATGACATATTGTGAAGATAATTAACAGCCTTGCGTTGAACGCCCATTGCTTTGTTTTATGTATGGCGCCCTCTCTTAATCGAACGATCATTGTCAACAGCTTGGGTTGACACAATGTTGTTGTTAGCCGAGTAGTTGGAACAGAATGTGGGACTCCTTGACATAGCTAAAGAGTGGGTATCGTTTTAACAGGTACAATCTGTCCAAATTCAAAGGCTTTATAAGCAGGTTACTACAGCGTCAAATTACAATAACAATGTACGGAAGATAAGAGAGGCCGCTTTTAGCTTTTGTGTTTGTCCATTGTCTTAACTCCCAAACTTCAGAGCATTGACTGTCACGTCTTGGGAGGCACAACCACAACACGCCCCGATAAAAACACGGCAAGCGTATGAGCATCGATCTAAGTAGACACGAGAAGGCCTTGTGTTTTATTTCGGTGAAAACTTACTGTTTTAGCGTGAATGGTTTTGAATGGTGGACAGCTGAACCGAGTGAATGATTGACAAGCGCCTCGGCATTAACATGCTTCAAAGTTAATGCGATACGTCATGTTAGAGGTACTCCGCCCACCAGCACGCAGCACATCGACAGAGTCAGAAATCAACTCTCCAACAAAAAGTAGTTCCTAAGAATAGTCGCAGTTTCTTCTTGTAGTCGGCGATGTGTGTGGAAAAAACAGTCTGTTTGAATCTCTATTGTTAGCTTGCGAGGGATTGTTGGCAAGTATTCGACGTTATTTAGAGTCTTCTGTGAGTCGCTGTATTCAAATAGTGTAGATTACACTGTGCATTATGTAAAGCAGTGTCAGCCACAAGACCCAGGCATGATCTCGCGTTTGGTGTGCTCAGAGTAGCGAGCGTCGTGCTGTTCGTATCAGCGTGGACATGTTGTTCTTACAACTGGTGACTTAATATCGCACCATGGAAAGCAAAGTATTACTAATGTTACTGTTTTCGCTGTGTTATAGCGACGGGGCCGTGGAAAAACACCACTGTGAGAAGATAACCATTCCGATGTGCATAGGAATTGGCTATAACATGACGGTAATGCCAAATCTTATGGGGCACAGTGATCAAAGCGCTGCCGCTATCAACGTTCATGAATTCTCACCGCTCGTCGAATACGGATGTGCTCCACATCTCAAGTTTTTTCTGTGTTCGCTGTACGCACCGATGTGTTCCGAAGAGCTGGAGCAACCTATACCCGCTTGTCGGCCTATGTGTGAGGACGCTCGCAGATTATGCAGCCCCATCATGGAACGATTTAACTTCCCTTGGCCAGAATCTTTGGACTGTACCGTGTTACCTGTGAAGGGTGAAAGAACGAGACTGTGTATGGAGGCCCCCGACATAAACGATAACAGTTCGTCAAACTATCCTGTAACAGGCGGGCCGTACCAAGGAATACCGTTTAATGACGACTTGCCAGCTGAGGAAGTGACAACATTGGAAGCCAATCCGTGTGCATTTAACCCAGAAAGATGGGTTTATGTTGAGAAAACTCAGAAATGTGCAGCAAGGTGCGACGTGGATGTCTTCTACCAGGAAAC